ACTGTGATGGAAACACTTTTACCGCACAAACTCCAGGATGCGCATTAAAAAAGGTCATGTGATTTTGTTAAAAGAGATCATGTGATGCTTAAAATGTGTGTGAATGGATAAAACGTCAGGCTGAGCACATTATAAAACATCTGAAATGTTGTTTTGGTCATTATAAAACGCCTTACCATTTCAGTATTAATGTTATTATATTATTAATGACCTCCAGAATCGAGAGCGCCTGTGCTCCGCTTCTGACACCTTCAAACGCCACCGCGCGCTCACTGCTTGTCAGGATTGTCTTCTGAGGCGCATTCATTTAGAAAAGATTGATGCAGCTCCTCCTACTGCAGCAAATGCAGTTTCTACTGTTGATATTTGGTGCCAGTTAATCAGGAAGAGACGATTTTGTTCGCTTTGACTCGTTGGATGGAAACGATGCTTCATTCGCACAACTTTTATGCGATAATCCCGTTTTGCGCATAAAGTGTATTCTCATTTTTGGATGGAAACAGCTAATCTTGTCTCGGAGGTCTACAGACAATTCCTTTGTCTTCATGCTTGGTTTGTGCTATGACATGCACTGTCAATTTAGAGCTTCACGACAAAGGCTGTCAATACTTATGTCTGTGTGATTTTTCAGCTTTTTTATTTTTAATAAATTTGCAACAATTTCAGAAAATCTTTTTTTCACATCGTCATTATGGTGTATTGTGTGTAGAATTTTGAGAAGATTAATTAATTTAATCCATTTTGGAATAGAGCTGTAGCATAAAAATGTGGAAAAAGTGAAGCGCTATTAATACTTTCCGGATGCACTGTACCCATTAATAAACAGCCAATATCTTAATAATAGGCAGGTAATAAGACACTAGTTAATAATGAGAATTGGTATTTAAAATGTTGCCAGATATTTATTTTAAATTTTAATAATATCCCACATTATCACTAGCTGTTTCTCAATACCAAGTACGCAAAGTTCGGACATGCGTCCTTTGAAGTTCAGACTTGGAAGAATGAACTCCTGAGGACGCGAGGACACAAGTCGGGTACTTCTTCAAATGGAACAGCAGTGTACTTTATAACATCACTTACCTCACCATGGATTCATCAGTTTCACTGTACATTAACAATAAAAGGATTTAATTAATATTTTATTAATATTATAAATCTACATTTTTGATTTAAGAACATGTACACATATATTCATAAAAATGTGAATTAAAATGAGTTATTATACACAGACACGTGTCTTTGATTATCAGATTTATCAAAATACAATGGTAATTTTACCCACAATAGGAAATAAAGACATACACGATTACGTCAAGCTATTTGGTAATCAAGGACAAACAGCGTACAACACGGTAACATAATTTAAGACAATTATAAAAGGTAACAAAATAACAATGCCAAAATAATACACCTGAGAACAAATAATAGATTTATAAGACTAAAAACTGTCCTTTAGATATTCACAAGATGTATTAAATATCCTGTTTTAACTACAATGAAGAGATGAGATCCAGCGGTACGTCCGGGGTGCCCTGGCCGAAGTAAAGCTGCTCTGGCGGGGGAGCTGATGACGGAGCTCCCGCTGGCAGGCTGGGAGTCGGAGTCCGCAAAAGCTGAGCCACATCGTTAAAGAAGCGCTATCTTTGTGAATAAACTGCCGATTCGAGTTTAAAACAACTACATTCTCGCCTGAAAAACTCTTAAAACTTTATTTTGTGACACAGTAAAGGAGCTTTTTTAAAGCCGTGCAGGTTTCCTCCTCCGCCATTAGCGCTTGCTGGTCACGCTGCAATGCATTCTGGGATACCTGAGCTTCGCAAGTTCGCACAAGTCACCTCTCGATGCATCCTTGGCCAAAGGGGCAGAGCAAGTACACATCCGGGAATTTCATGTGTACTTGGAAAGATGTGAACTTTGAATTGGAACAGTACTTTGGCGACGGTTGATGACGTTTTACGAGGACACAAGAACAAAAGTACAGAAAAGAATGCATATTGAGAAACAGCCACTGTTTTTACTGCATATTTTCTGAGCTTCTCTCGAAAGTCATTTCAAAATCATACCGACTGGAAACTTCTGAACGGCAGCCCCACAGCTTTATCTAATTTGTTTATTTATTTATTTTTGCAAAAGTTTTATCCGTGGCCCAGCTGCTTTGCACTTTTGATTGTCTTTTGTCTGTATTTGTTTGTTTTCTCCTCATCATCTGGGAGCCGACGGCCAGTGTTCATCTGTCTCTGGGTCAGCTGTACTCTCTCCTCACCCGAGGGCCGCTGATATGTGGCACCGCGGGCCGCTGGGCGAGAACTGAGCCAGCGTTCGGCCCTCAGTGGGCCATCGGGGCCGGCGACCTCTTCTGCAGATCCCGGCCCGACGTGAAGCCTGTCAGGAGCCCTGGCCCGAGGCTCACGGGTCAGCACTGCTAAATGGAAGTGGACAAGCGAGTCCTCTGTCCAGAAAGCGTGCGCTCTCTGCGTTCTGGCCTCAGGTTGTTGTTGTTGTGTTGATGCAGTCTATCGCTGTGATGCGTCCATGTGCTCAAAGTTTGACTCTTGGACTGGCCCTCGGCCCTGTGTATGTGCTCTGTTTGAATCCACTTCTGACCACAATACAGAAGCTTTTTCTTCTGACATGACTGCATCTATCAAAACTGCTGTACTGTTATTTATCTGTGGATCTTCACAAATGCGCATGCTTAAGTGGTGCTGTTTTGTTTACTGAATCATCTCAGTCTGTATGAATCAATTATCTGAATTATCTGTTTACTGAATAATCTGAATCGGTCATCTGAATCACCCATTTAATGAATCATCTGTTTGCTAAATTAAACTGAAGCAGTTTAAATCAGCTCTACTGAATCATTAGTTTGCTGAATCATATGAATTTGTTTGTATCAGTCATCTGAATCATCTGTTTAATGACTCATCTGAATCGTCTGTTTGCTAAATTCAACTGAAGCAGTTTTAATCAGCTCCACTGAATCATCAGTTTGCTGAATCATCTGAATCTATTTGAATCAGTGATCTGAATCATCTGTTTAATGAATCAACTGAATTGTTTGTTTGCTGAATTAAACTGAAGCAGTTTTAATCAGCTTTACTGAATCATCAGTTGCTGAATCATTTGAATCTGTTTGAATCTGTCGTCTGCATCACCTGTTTAGTGAATCATCTGTTTACTGAATTGAACTGAAGCAGTTTAAATAAGCTCCACTAAATCATCGGTTTGCTGAATCATCTGAGTCTGTTTGAATCAGTCATCTGAATCACCTGTTTAATGAATTCTCTGAATCAGTTTAAATCTGATCAACTAAGTCATCTGTTTGCTGAATCATCTGAATCACATTTTTGCTGAATTAAACTAAAGCAGTTTAAATCAGCTCCACTGAATCGTCAGTTTGCTGAATCATCTAAATGTGTTTGAATCGGTCGTCTGAATCTTCTGTTTAGTGAATCATCTGAAACATCTGTTTACTGAATTAAACTGAAGCAGTTTTAATCGGCTCCACTGAATGATCAGTTTGCTGAATCATATGAATTTGTTTGTATCAGTCATCTGAATCATCTGTTTAATGACTCATCTGAATCGTCTGTTTGCTAAATTCAACTGAAGCAGTTTTAATCAGCTTCACTGAATCATCAGTTTGCTGAATCATCTGAATCTATTTGAGTCAGTGATCTAAATAATGTTTAATGAATCAACTGAATTGTCTGTTTGCTGAATTAAACTGAAGCAGTTTTAATCAGCTCTACTGAATCATCAATTGCTGAATCATTTGAATCTGTTTGAATCAGTCGTCTGCATCACCTGTTTAGTGAATCATCTGAATCATCTGTTTACTGAATTAAACTGAAGCAGTTTAAATCAGCTCCACGAAATCATCGGTTTGCTGAATCATCTGAGTCTGTTTGAATCAGTCTCCTGAATCACCTGTTTAATGAATTCTCTTAATCAGTTTAAATCTGATCAACTAAGTCATCTGTTTGCTGAATCATCTGAATCACCTTTTTGCTGAATTAAACTTAAGCAGTTTAAATCAGCTCCACTGAATCGTCAGTTTGCTGAATCATCTGATTGTGTTTGAATCAGTCGTCTGAATCACCTGTTTAGTGAATCATATGAAACATCTGTTTACTGAATTAAACTGAAGCAGTATTAATCAGCTCCACTGAATCATCAGTTTGCTGAATTATCTGAATCTGTTTGAATCAGTCATTTTAACTACCCGTTTAACGAATCTTCTGAATCATCTGTTTGCTGAATTAAACTAAAGCAGTTTAAATCAGCTCCACTGAATCATGAGTTTGTTGAATCATCTGAATCTGTTTGAATCATTCATCTGAATCACCTGTTTAATGAATCATCTGAATCAGTTTAAATCTGATCAACCACGTCATCAGTTTGCTGAATCCTCTGAATCCCCTGTTTGCTGAATTAAACTAACGCAGTTTAAATCAGCTCCACTGAATCGTCAGTTTGCTGAATTATCTGAATCTGTTTGAATCAGTCGTCTGAATCACCTGTTTAATGAATCCTCTAAATCATCTGTTTACTGAATTAAACCGAAGCTGTTCCACTGAATTATCAATTTACTGAATCATCTAAATCTGTTTGCATCAGTTGTCTGTTTAATAAATTGTCTGAATCATATTTTTGCTAAATTATCGGAATCCGTTTGCATCAGTTGATTGACTCTGTCTTCCGAATCCATCGTTGAAATGCCTGAAAGATTTATTCTGAGGAATCAGTAAATGGAGGATTCAGACGACTGATTCAAACTGATTGAGACAATTCATTAAACTGAAGCTGAATCAGTCTGAATCAGTCTTCTGAAATAAGTTTAGACCCTGTGGATTTTTTTTTATTGTACTAGGAGTCTGTAATAAAGTTTGAATGAATACGATTGCAGATGATGCTCAGCTCAGTCTTGGTGTTAATTCTCTGTTGAACAGGAGGTGTTGGATCTTTAACTCAATCATTTCCTTCCTCACCCACAGAAACGCAGCTCATGGTTTCTCCTTGATCCCGGTGGACAGTCTGAAAGTGACCATGAAGGATATCCTGCAGAAAGCCCTCAAGAAGAGGAAGGGCTCCCAGAAAGGATCAGGTCAGACTTTACTCTCAAATAAAGGGTTTTGTATTGAATATAAAATGATATTCCTCAAGTAGCATGCATATTTGCTGTATTATTATTTCTTTAATGCGGATATTGTTTGTTGATCTTCCTAAATAGTATTATTTATTTATTAGCAAGTTGTTAATTTATTATTTAACAATATTAATACATTATTATTATTGTTATTATTATTATTATTATTATTATTATTATTATTATATTTAGTTTACATTTATCTTTAGTTTTAGTAATTTTAGTACTTTACCTGTAATTTAACATTTTTAAAAGAACAATTTTATTTTGTTCAAATTTTTGCTGGATAATGATATTTATAATACTATTTTTATTAATGTATTAAATAATAATTATAAATATTATAATAGTAATAATAATAATAATAATAATAATAACTAGATTCTTAAAGTTTGAGAACAAACTTTGAGGCTGGCTTGTGAAAGCCTGATGGTAATAGTTTATTTAGTTAAAACAAGTTTAAACAAAGTTTTAAAAAGTATGAAAAGATAGATAGATAGATAGATAGATAGATAGATAGATAGATAGATAGATAGATAGATAGATAGATAGATAGATGATAGATAGATAGATAGATAGATAGATAGATAGATAGATAGATAGATAGATAGATAGATAGATAGATAGATAGATAGATGATAGATAGATAGATAGATAGATAGATAGATAGATGGATAGATAGATAGATAGATAGATAGATAGATAGATGATAGATGATAGATAGATAGATAGATAGATAGATAGATAGATAGATAGATAGATAGATAGATAGATAGATAGATAGATGATAGATAGATAGATAGATAGATAGATAGATAGATAGATAGATAGATAGATAGATAGATAGATGATAGATAGATAGATAGATAGATAGATAGATAGATAGATAGATAGATGGATAGATAGATAGATAGATAGATAGATAGATAGATGATAGATGATAGATGGATAGATGGATAGATAGATAGATAGATAGATAGATAGATAGATAGATAGATAGATGGTTATGAGGTCACAAAGTTTGATCCAATGTTACGTCTATGGGATTTTTCCGACGGTCCCGGGACGTTTTTCGGAAAACCGAAAGTCGGATCAGTCGGAAAAGATATAGCAACTCGAGTCAGAATAGTTCGGAGGTCTGACCTGAGTTTGATGGTCATAGCTTGAAAGGCCTAGGAGGAGATAGAGTTTAAATTTTAGTCTCAGAAGAAGAATAATAATATTAAGTTTAATAGGATAACAGTAGTCTGGCTTGCTACACAAGCCAGCCTAATAATAATTATTATTAGTTGTAGTAGTAGTAGCAGTATAATATTTCTATTTGGTTTACATTAATATTTATTTTTAGTACTTCAACAATAATAATTTTTTTTATCTGAATAATTTTATTTTGTTATTTATTTAAATTGTTGCAGATTAATAATATTATTTAATATAATAATAATAATATTTGCTTTTATATAATCTTATTTTGTTAATCATTCAGTCTCTTTTTCTTATAATCTTTTTGTGGAATTATTACTTTATTGATTTTTTTTTGTTTGTTTGTTTTGTTTTGAACTTTAATCTTCATATAAGCAATATCACACACGTAGCACTGCGATTTGGCTGTATTTTAACCCTGGTGGGATGTGTGTCTTGGTGTCCCACCAGTGACGATATACAGCCATATCGCAGTGCTACGAGTGTGAAATTGCGTATATACAATAGCTTGACGGCACAATCATGTGTATAAAAATTAAAATCAAACACAGGGAATGTATTTTTTTTTTTTTTTATAAGGAACTACTTTCTTCCCCCATTCACATCTGCAGCTGACTTCAGAACAACAGAAACTGTTGCTACTTCACAATAGTCACTTTAGAGCTAATATTTAAATGATTCTCTAGCGTAAAGTGATGACAAAACAGGTGATCTTGATCATATTTTAAGATTATAAGGCTGTTGAACAGCATGAAATTCCATTAGTCTACAGATATTTCTCAGAACTTCTCTTTTACAATCGGGAGATCACAATAATTAACTCAGAAAAAAACAAAGCAAAGTAAACACTACCAGATTACTATGGTATAAATACAGCACTACAACATACAAAAGAGAGAAATTGACTAAGTGTCATTTACCTGTTTTATAATGATTTGATCAGCTGTAATTTAAAATTACGCTGAGTTTTTCTCCTCTAAGGGCTTATTATGCTGTCTCTGTCGCCATCTTGCTCAGTATGACAGGCTGAAGGCCTCTCTAAAATTATAAATACTTAAAATAGGCACTATCCTTATAAATAAACAGCATAGTTGCAATCTAAACAACTACATTCTCGACTAATAAAGCTTCAAAAGTACATTATGCTGTCCATCAGCTGCGATATTTGCTAAGCTGTAGTGAGCTTATTGATCTGTTGTCACTCTACGTGGGCGGAGTAATACACAAGAGTGAGGAGGCTACACAAGTGCTGTTATTGCAGAATATCGCACAGCTATCAGCCAATTCGATTCGAGAGCCAGACAGAACGATTGTCATTTTAGTACTTCAACAGTAACGCTTTATATAAGCAATCTTATTTTGTTATATATATTTAAATTATTTTCTTATAACCCTTATGTTGAATTATTTGTTTTTGTTGTCCAGCAGTGCTATATGAGGGTTATAATTTTATTTATCATTAATTGCAAGGTTATTGAATTAGCATTTATGATTTAAGATGTCATTTTTATTTAACATTAATTAGTAGTAAGTTATTTAGTTCTATATTAGTCTTCCTTTAATCATATGTATATTGTTGGAAGATGTTACATGGCCTATTTTTTTGTGTGCTTGTTTATGTTAGTGTTTGTTTGTGTTAGTATTTGTGTGTGTGTGTTCGTATTCATGTATGTGTTAGTATTTGTTATGTGTGTGTGTTTTCATCTTGGAGAGTAAGTGAAGCCGTCTGCTGTGATTGGACTGATATCTTTGCCAGTGTGCCGTCCTAATTTGTCATCTGTGAATGGGCAGAATCTGATAAGGCAGAGTCTTTAATACAGAAAGTCACAGGTAACGGATCGTCCGTTTGACAGGGCAGCGGTCAGATAAGAGTAGATCGAGACTAGACACACAACTGCACATAAGCAATGGAGAGCAATGGTGCGACAACCAGAGTGCATTAGAGAGAAAATGGATAAAACACAGTAGCCGCGTTTCCACTGTGTCGCTTCCAGGGCCTGATTGGCTAGTAAAAATGATTGTGTGTAAAGAGACTCTTGAGTTTAGCTGCACGCATACTGAGGTCAAAGCCTTTAGTGCTGACCGTTTGCTGTTCATATGTTTGATGCAGCGGATGCCCTTCCAGTTGCAACCTAGTACTGGGAAACACACACACTCTCACACTCATACTCTACAGCCAATTTTGTTGATCCAATTTACCTATAGCACATGTGTTTGGACTGTGGGGGAAACCGGAGCACCCGAAAGACACCCACGGCAGAGAACATGCAAAAACTCCAACCAGGCCTCGAACGAGCGACCTTCTTGCTGTGAAGCAACAATGCTTACCACTGAGCAACTGTGTCACAATCTCTTCATTTGTTATCAGAGTATTTCAGTTCCTTTCCTAACAATTAAATTCACCTTTATTTCAATAGCACTTTTACAATGTAAATTGTGTCAAAGCAGCTTGACATAGAAGACTATAGTAAATTAAACAGTGTAGTTCAGTTTTCAGTGTTTAAGTTCAGTTCAGTTTAGCTCAGTTCAGTGTGGTTTAATATTCAATACTGAGAGTCCAAACACTGAAGAGCAAATCCTTCGTTGCGGAGCTCTACAAGTGCTGAACCATGAAAGCCATTGGCGACAGTGGCGAGTAGGGCTGTGCAATTAATCGAAAATCCGATTTCGATTTCGGCTTCTAATGATTTTGAAAAACCATTAATCGAGATGGTTCTGTGTGTGTGTGCGGCGCACGCACATAGTCAGAAGCATGCGGTCAGCATTCGCTTTCATTTGCGCACTGAGACAAGCAGAGCGCACACATCTAATATTAACGTGAGCGCTTTAATGGTCAAATAAGTGTCAAAACGCGGTGTTTAGTGATTATTCATATTAACCTTCATTTGTGTAATAAAGAAACGATTTGAGAATCAAAAGACACAAGAAAAAGAAACCATTAAAGTAACAGTGCTCAATTTCTGTTGCCGCCTGTTTTTATCATTAATCAAACAAAATGAGAACATCCCTCACTGCTCTTGACTTTTGTAGCTAAAGAGTTTTTCTTACAGTGAAGATGCTTAAAGCACAGTTTGTTTCATATTTTTATTCTGTTGTATTTATTTCTCTTTCCTTTGCAGGGTGGAAAATAATATGTGCAGTTGAAGTCAGAATTATTAACCCTCCTGAATATTAGCTCTTTTCGAATATTAACTCTTTTCCTCCCCAATTTCTGTTTAATGGAAAGAAGATTTCTGAACATAATAGTTTTAATAACTCATTTCTAATAACTGATTTATTTGAAATTTGCTATGATGACGACACACAATATTTGACTAGATATTTTTCAAAATGCATGCATTCATATTCAAAGTGTGATTCAAAGGCCTAATTAGGGTAATTAGGCAGTTAATTGTATAACAGTAGTTTCTTCTGCAGGCAATCAAAAAATATATTGCTTAAGGGGGCTAATATTATAGACTTTAAAATGGGTTTCAAAATATTTAAACCTGCTTTTATTCTGGCCGAAATAAAACAAATAAGCTTTTCTCCAGATGAAAAAAATATTAGAGGAAATACTGTTAAAATTCCTTGCTCTGTTAAACACCATTTGGGAAATATTTAGTTTTTTTAATTCTCAGGAGCGCTAATAATTGTGACTTCAGCTGATAACCATTTTGAATAATCGTGATTACAATTATGACCAAAAAATAATCGTGATTATGATTTTTACCAAAATCGAGCAAAATCTGGAAAAAATGTTCACCAATTGATGA